ATTGGGACCAATTTGGAAAATGACCCAAGGCGCCATTACACACGCTTGATTATACAAATCAGCAGTCTGTCTTCTTTTCTCAGTGTTTCTGTTATGCATTTCTCCCCTGACCCTCTTTCCTTCAGTTTACACATCCATCTCCTTTTATCTTCAGCCAAAGACAAGAGTGAGAAGAACTTTGCCATGGCCTTTGTGCGTCTGATGAAGGATGATGGGACGGTTCTACAGGATGGACTGCATGACCTTGTGGTCTTCAAGGTCAGAACCAGAAACAGAGCTTTAGCAGAAAGAAAACAGATGAACAGGTTTGGTGTCCTCCTCAAAAATCAGAATCAAGAGTCAATAACATCTATTTAACTGATTCTTTTAAAAGTACATCTTAGTTTTTATCACCCAAATTTTTCCTTGCCCCCCCCCAAGTTAATAATGCAATACAATTATGCAACTGAATAGCAAATCAGCACACAAAGCTTTCAGACTTACACAGATGCAAAAGCTCTTCTGAGAGTTAGAAGTGAACCTTTTATGATGTGAAAGGGCCACAGTTCATTACTTTAGTTGTACCAGCCCCTTTTGGATTGAACAGCTCCATTACAATAAAACTGAAATATTTTTAAGTAGCAGGTCAAGTGAATGTGGCAACTCATCAACGTTTAATGGTCAGACATGAATTAATGAGAGATTTGCTCTAAATGTACCAAAGCTCATGACTGTTCTTCTTCTTCAGGAGCTTTTTATCTATGAATAATGGTGAGAAGTGAATTTACAAATCACTGACACATACTGGCTTATGTGCCTAAAATATAACAGGTAAACATTTTTGTCTGAAAAGGTTAATGTCAGGAAGAGACGTTCAACATGCAACCATCATCTGAGCAGACCTCAACATACAGTGGTGTGAAAAAGTGTTTGCCCCCTTACTGATTTCCTATCTTTTTGCATGTTTGTCACACTGTAATGTTTCAGATCGTCAAACAAATTTATATATTAGTCAAAGATAACACAAGTAAACACATCATGCAGTTTTTAAATGAAGGTTTTTATTATTAAGGGAAAACAAAATCCAAAACTATATAGCCCTGTGTGAACAAGTGTTTGCCCCCTAAACCTAAGAACTGGTTGGGCCACCCTTAGCAGCAACAACTGCAATCAAGCGTTTTCGATAACTTGCCATGAGTCTTTTACAGCGCTGTGGAGGAATTTTGGCCCACTCATCTTGGCAGAATTGTTGTAAGTCAGCCACATTGGAAGGTTTTCGGGCATGAACTGCCTTTTTAAGGTCATGCCACAGCATCTCAATTGGATTCAGGTCAGGACTTTGACTAGGCCACTCCAAAGTCTTCATTTTGTTTTTCTTCAGCCATTCAGAAGTGGACTTGCTGGTGTGCTTTGGATCATTGTCCTGCTGCAGAACCCAAGTTCGCTTCAGCTTGAGGTCACAAACGGATGGCCGGACATTCTCCTTCAGGATATTTTGGTACACAGCAGAATTCAGGGTTCCATTTATCACAGCAAGTCTTCCAGGGCCTGAAGCAGCAAAACAGCCCCAGACCATCACACTACCACCACCAATATTTTACTGTTTGTATGATGTTCTTTTTCTGAAATGCGGTGTTACTTTTACGCCACACATAATGGGACACACACCTTCCAAAAAGTTCAACTTTTGTCTCGTCTGTCCACAGAGTATTATCCCAAAAGTCTTGGGGATCATCAAGATGTTTTCTGGCAAAACTGAGACGAGCCTTTATGTTCTTTTTGCTCAGCAGTGGTTTTCGTCTTGGAACTCTGCCATGCAAACCATTTTTGCCCAGTCTCTTTCTTATGGTGGAGTCATGAACACTCACCTTAACTGAGGCAAGTGAGGCCTGCAGTTCTTTGGATGTTGTTGTGGGGTCTTTTGTGACCTCTTGGATGAGTTGTCGCTGCGCTCTTGGGGTAATTTTGGTCGGCCGGCCACTCCTGGGAAGGTTCTCCACTGTTCCATGTTTTCGCCATTTGTGGATAATGGCTCTCACTGTGGTTCGCTGCAGTCCCAAAGCTTTAGAAATGGCTTTATAACCTTTTCCAAACTGATAGAGCTCAATTATTCTCTTTCTCATTTGGTTTTGAATTTCTTTGGATCTCGGCATGATGTCTAGCTTTTGAGGATCTTTTGGTCTACTTCACTTTGTCAGGCAGGTCCTATTTAAGTGATTTCTTGATTGCGAACAGGTGTGGCAGTAATCAGGCCTGGGTGTGGCTAGAGAAATTGAACTCAGGTGCGATAAACCAGTGTTTTGACAGGGGGGCAAACACTTGTTCACACAGGGCTCTATAGTTTTGGATTTTGTTTTCCCTTAATAATAAAAACCTTCATTTAAAAACTGCATGATGTGTTTACTTGTGTTATCTTTGACTAATATATAAATTTGTTTGACGATCTGAAACATTACAGTGTGACAAACATGCAAAAAGATAAGAAATCAGTAAGGGGGCAAACACTTTTTCACACCACTGTATAGCGAGTATGGACAGGAGATTATGGCCACCCAGACAGGTTGAGTGAAGCCAAATAGATTTCCTGCCAAATGAGCCAGAACTAAGATTGAATCCCCTTAATGATTAAATGCCAAATGAAATGAAGATTAGTTACTCCTGATTCATTTAAATACCAAATGGATGGTCCCTCTCTGCCCTCTTTCTCGATTATCTCTTGTTATCCCCGCCTTCCTCTTGATCTCTGTGCCACTCATGGCTTCAGTCTTTTACTCCCTGCTTTTCCACCAGTTCACTCATTATTACTAACTGGCATGGCATTAAAGAGGGCAGAGTTGAGGTTTGTGATCTAAAGAGGGTGTATATACCTGAAGAGGGTCTGTGTGTATAAAAGAACTAGTGACCAGCAGTGTATAATGATGTAAACAAAACAGAAAATCATGCTACATAGAGGAGATATCTCTCTTTTCCTTTCTTCCTACGTGTTTACTCTTATCTTTTCAGCACTTTGTAACTCAGAAAAAAAATTGCTGTACCAATAGTTCAGTTTGTTTGTGTTTGTGCTCTTATTTCTCTAACCTGTCATGGCTCTGCTGTTTTTAAAAGTTATGAGTTTACAAACCAAAGTTGCATTAGGCAGAAGTAGATATGGGATCACAGGGGATTATTGCTGTGGAACTGGCAACTTCAGTCATTGTTTATTTTTTCTTCAGTGTTGGCTTGATAAGTGTAGCAAATCCCAGATCCTAGTGTCTCTCTGTCTTCGGCTGTTGTATCTGCATCAAGAGATTTTGACTGAATACAGAAAATATAACCCTTGTCCCAGTGCTGCTGCGACACCTATAAAACGTCAGTGCCGCCATTAATTAAGTTGTACTATCACTGGTATGTCAACATTATTGGGTTAAAAATGACTCCTTCTCATTGTCTTGTCAGGGTGACAGCAAGCGCATGGAAGATGTGAACTCGTACTTGTGTTTAACCTCGACCCGCCATCACCATGGCGACCCCCACAAAGCGACAATACTGAGCCGCAGCTCTAGCAGTGTGTCTGGGGGCGGTGCAGGCCTGTCGGTCAGCTCCAGAGACAGCTTCAGCATCTCCACCCTGGTCTGCTCCACCAAACTCACCCAGAATGGTAGGTGTTTTGTGTGCTTTCACTTGTGTGTGTGGGCGGGGTAGGCGTTACAATGCACAAATAGCCCCTTTGTGACATTAAACGTATATTAAGCTACTCAAAAAAGACATCTTTCATTCAGAAAGACACACAAACACCTATATACACATACAAGTTGAAGAAAGGTTAGAGCGGAGATATGAGGAAAGCGTGTCTGAAATTAAACCTGACGTCAAAAACAGTGATTAATAGCTTCATTCAACAAAGTCATTTAGTGGTAAAATCCAGGGAAATGTTTTTCTGACATCATTAGACAAAATGTTATTTTCTGGTTTAGGGTTAAATATTGGGTTAGAATGACAGCAGCTGAAGAGTGAGGTTAGGTTAGGGTCATGGTAAAGGGGCCCTCCAGCCAATTAGTGAATCAACAGTATGCTCACTAGGTTAATGTTGCCAGAACTACGTGTGTGTGTGTGTGTGTGTGTGTTATGATTATGGAAAAATAAGCAAAGAATTGGTGTAACTGCATATATACAAGGGTTTTATTAGTGGGGAGTGTCTTGTCTTTTTGTCCTACACTCTCTGGCAGGCAGCCACACACAAAGGTGCACACCCATATTTAAAGCTGCATACACACACAACTACAGACAGTAAGGTGCATCTGACACAGGTGCTGTGCAGCAGCTGTTACTGCAGAAGCCAGTCCATCATTATAATGAATATTATCCTGCAGTATTAATCACCTGTACCACATGCACGTACATTCACACTCACATGAACAGAAAAGACTTTTAGGCAGGCATTCACCCATCATATTGCTTGGGACCATCCACCAGATGTGGGGCTTGGCTTGATGAGTCAAAAGATATTGGACAGGGAAAGCTTTGAGTTTGAAATGGGCAGCCCTACAGACTCATGGGAGTCATGTCAAACTGTAGCAGAATTAATGACAGAAGCTGTGGAAGTGAATGTTCTACTGAAAATCTCACTAAATGCAGGTGCAGGGACTGTCCACATGACAGATCATCGCCTGACAAAGTGCTACTTTGTGATTGTAGCTATCAGTGAGCGATGAACTTGGAACATACAGAATTGAACATATTTTCATTAAAGATTCATCTTTTAATTTTTATTAGATATATAATCTAAAGTATTACATTAAATCTGATTTAAAAAAGTGAAAAGCAGTTTGCTATTGACCTAAATTGTTTCCAGTTCACTCTTGAGCAACACAATGTGTGTAAGTACAGTTAAAACAGATAAAGAGGAAAATATTTGTTGTGCCTCCCGTCTTCAGTGGGTCTGCTAGGACTTCTCAAGTGGAGGACTCGACCCGAACTCCTCAGAGAAAACCTGGAGAAGCTCAAAATCATTGATGGAGAGGAGGTGGTCAAGGTCAGTGGTGTGGATACAGGTGTGTCTTTGCATAAGTGCGTCAACTGCGTGCACTCTGACTGGAGCTCTTCTTTGTCTGGTTGTATGTGTGTAGTTTCTGCAGGACACTCTGGATGCCTTGTTCAACATCATGATGGAACACTCTCAGACTGATGACTATGACATCCTTGTGTTTGATGCCTTGGTGAGTGTGTTTGTGTGCCTTGTCAACAGATGCAGCTGATTTCTCGATAGGCTGCCTCTGTGTGTATTGATTCATGTACTGTATCTCTGTCTCCCTGTCCCCCTCCTTCCTAATAAACACATCTATCTGATGGCTGTAAAATAAATCTGTCTTGTAAGTATCTGCTGTTCTGTAAGCATGTAACCCTGTTGCTCTCTGTTTTTTTCTCCTTTTGGCTGCCAGATATACATCATTGGTCTGATCGCTGACAGAAAGTTTCAGCACTTCAACACAGTGTTGGAGGCCTACATCAAGCAACATTTTAGTGCTACACTGGCCTACAAGTAGGTTACTTCCTGGATCAGAAACCACTTCCTTTCTTGCCATGAGCTCTTGCCTGAAATGTCAACGAATACAGTATACACAACTGTAGTATCTCTCCCCCACATTTTTTAATCTAACACTGTGGAAGATAGAGAAGTTCAAACTAATATTTGAAGCATTTTGACAAAAAAATAAACAACACAATCATAAAAACCGCAAAAAAGCAGCATATAACTATAAATAAAAACAAAATAAGATCCAAAAAGCAGAAAGTTCAGTAGCATATCAATATGTTCATGCATCAATTTTGTTAGTCTCTTGAGAAAGCTACAATTGACTTCACTATCAATTAAACTCACGGAGCGAGACCAGCTATTTAAGGTCTCAATGATTTTGCTGTGGGATCCATAAAATGTCATCTGAGTACTTAATTTTCTTCTGAAATTTCAGGACAATGGTAGACTGTAAATTCACATACAGTACATACAAACAAACAGTTTTTCTGTGTGAAACCTGTTTATCAGTATGTTTGGCAGTGTTCTTGTTTGCATTTCAAATGATGGATTTCATGATTATTCATGAGGCAGTTCTCCCATCTCTTGGGAATTACTGTATGAAATCTTTGAAATCCCATCAGATAACAGCAATAAATGCTTTGCATCAAGCCAAAGAATGTGTTGTGGTTCCATGAAGGTTGGACTGGAAAGCTTAGAATACAGTATAGCATCAACTGGGGTTGCCCAACTAGGAACCAAATGCTATACTCCATGACAGTGATAGAAAATCTTTAAACCTATTATTCTAATTTAAATGTCTTCTGAAGATCTAATGTGAAGCGACTAAATATTGCACTGTATCCAGCTGCCGGTGTGTCTGTTGCCACTTGACTGAACAGGATTAGAGGACACTTCTTTACTGTACTTTCAGCTAACCAGTTTTAACTCTGCTTCTCTGTGGAGTAACAGCTAAAGCACTCAGACATACACCTTAAACGCTTGTGGCTGCTCCGTCCTTTTTCATTCAGCGGGCACCAGAGAAAGCCTTTGTTTGTGCCGCAAACCTCCATTTAGGAGACTAAAAACATGTCTAACTAGTTCTCCAGTGTTGTTTCACCCAACTGCTTCTACTCCTCCTCTTAGCCCCCTTTGCCCAGTTATCTCTGCCACTTTCCTCCTCTATTAACTGTTTTTCTCTCTCTCTTTCTGTTCTTCATTCTGTCTTTTCATCTCTCCCTCCATCATCACTCCATCCCTACCTTGTGTTGGTGTTCACCCTCTTTAAGAGGGTCACTGCAGCTCAACATCTGTCAGCCCAGAGGCTCTTATGTAAAACTCTTTAACTACCTCTAGCTACATTATTTATTGCTCTTAAAAAAAGTATAAATCCTTACGTGTTTGCCTTTAAGACACACACTAAAACAAAGCCAGGGATGACTGAATGGTAAAAATGTTGGTAATATTTTCAAGACCGCCCTAATGGCAATGACACCAGGTTAACCAGCTTAAAGTTTCATTTTTAAGCAGACTTTTTAAAAATTATTTAAAATGATTAGGGTGTTTTTTCATGGGACTAGAGCTTCACAAAGCCAAAAGTCTTGATTGTTTGTAGGCCTGCAGTATTGTTATATGTGAAATGAATTTGCTAGTATGACATGCATATAATGAAGAGCAAGACTGGGCAGAGAAATGCTGACAGGTCATAAACTTAGATCGAACTCTGTGCCGCCCCCACCTCTCTCCAACTGACATGCTGGAATATTTATGTGTGCGTCTAAAGATGTCTGTGGGGTGTGTATGTGTTAGATGTTTTTTTAACCATGCATCTTAGGGCAAATAAAATGTCTGAGCTGTGTGAAAAGTACATCTGTTGAGGTGTGAAATACTATTTAGTTATTTCTCCACCTGCACCTCGCTGCCAGACTTCCACTCTCTTTCTCTCTCACTCTGTTGCATTTTGTCTTTTTGCTCTGAGGAAGTGAAAAATGGAGTTGGTGATTAACTTTCCAACCTGTGGGACATCTGAAAAAAAAAAGACATTTCTGATTGAATGATTTTGATTTCTGTCTTTTATTCTTCTTTCTCTTTCTTTTTTCTTTATCTCTGTCCACTGTTTTTTCCATATCCTTGTCTCCCAGAAAGCTGATGTCAGTGTTGAAGCGGTATCTGGATGTGTCCAGCCGAGGGGAACAGTGTGAGCCCATCCTCCGAACCCTCAAAGCCCTTGAGTACATCTTCAAGTTCATCGTTCGCTCGCGCATGCTCTACTCCCAGTGAGTATTTGTGTAACTCTTTGTGCACTGATAATTAAGATAATTTCTTTTTGAACTCACAATAATGCAAACAGACATACCAGAAGGTCCATGCATGCGGAGCCTACAGTAGTGGAGTAATCGTTTTTGACAGCTCTGTGAGAAAAGGCTGCTGATTGCAGCACTTGCGTTGCTTATAAGCACTGATGATGAAGTGCAGCGTCCAAATCGAATGAGAGCTAATGACAGGGCCAGGCTGCTGAATGAGCAGCCAATGATATGTCAGCCAAACAAAGTTCCTGTAGGAGAGACTTAAGACACCCACTGTGCTGAGCCAAGACAAGAGCTGTAAACACCATTTACTGTGTAACTGCAGCGCAAAGCCTGATGCTGAAAGATCAGAAATATGAGCTATGGTTAAATTATGTGCTTTGCCTGTGGGTGACTTGAGCACGTACTATGTGTATTTTTATGTAGGTGTGTGGCTAAATGAGGTGTAGACATGTCTTGAAGTGAGGGCTGGAACACATAGGAATATGAGGTTTATGTGTGTATTGGTTGTTTGTGTTGATAGAATTGAGTTGGGTGGGTGTGGTGTTGGTGTGTTTGTTATTCAAAGTCCACCGGGCAGTGAAGGTGTGGCTTTTTAATCTTCTGAAGGGCATCATGGGCTTTGTTTGTTGAAATTGGTGCGTTTGTTATGTATTCATAGAGTGTGTGCAGATTTGTGTGGATGCATTATTATGGATTCCCAACTGGGTGTGTATGCATGTGTGAACCCACACATGCGTTTAGGTGTATATCTTTGTGTGTGCGTGTGTGTGTGAGTCACATTATCGCTTCACTGCTCCTAGACTGACTGAACTCCAGTCACCAGCCTCCCCTGGGTATCTCTGAACCAATAAATCTCACTCTCTTTCTCTCTCTCTCCTTTATCTGTCATCCCCCAGCTACCTGCAGCTGGCAACTTCAACTTTCTAAAGTCTGCTAAAGTTTTAGCATCAAATTCCTCCTTCTGTGAGGTCTCATAATGCCTAAATAGAATCAGGTAATCAAGGGAAAAACTGTCGCTGTAAATGCATCCAAAAGTTTCCATCATCACCACCATCAAGATTAGCAATTATTAATAGCTAAAAGGCAGCATTGAAGATGTATTAGCCTGTCAGATGTGTTTCATATTTATGCAAAGCCTGTTATGTTTACTTAAAAATGATGTAAGATATGCTGTACCACATTTTGTACTTTCCTTTACCTTCTTTCTGTCCTTCACGCCCTGTAGCTTTCAATACTTCCCTGTAGTCTAGTTCATCAGTTGTTTCTTTTTCCTTTCCCTCAAGCACCTGGTGTGTTCTATATTTCTCCCCTTGTCCTCTTTTTTCCTGTCACTTCCCTCATCTTTAAATCTAACCCTCTTTCTTACCTTCATTGCTCTACTTTAAAATGCCCAACACCTCTTCCTATGGAAGCAGAATACCTCATCATTTAATAAATGATCCTTTCTCTTCTTGTAAAAATCTTATCTGTTTCCTATGAGATGTTAAAGTTATCTAATATTTTTTATTTATTGTATTATTTAGGCTTTCTCAATTAGTTAATTTATTCTTAAGGACATCACTCACTATTTGGAGATAATTAATTTTGATAGGAAGACATACTGTACTGTAGTATCTAATAATAATAATAATAATAATAATGAAAGCATATTGTTCAATATTGAGAAATGCAGTAGTTCATAAAAACATTTACTGCATGGAGAGCTGCTTAATTCACTCTACATACAAAAACCCCACGCTTTACAAACCAGGTAATATTTGGAGGCATTCCAGCTTTTACCTAATTGTATTGCCTGTCCCAAGGTTCTGCAGTGTTTGTTTAACTGTCTGCATGAATAAATTCTTGAAAACAAACAGGATTTAATAATAGCCAAGGTAAATGTGTGTCTCACTGCACCACTCTTTTTAAAAGTTTCAATTCTCAGAGGAGCAATAACTTTCATTATGCTTGTTTGCCAAAATGAAAGGGAATGATGCATCTCATCGGTGTTCACCACTGCACAGTGTATCATGCAAAATGTCTGATGTTACATTTGACCCAATCTGAGGGGAACCATGTATCTCACTACTTAATTGCAGCATTGAACATTTTCACTGATTGGTCCACAGGAGAACTGTAATTATGGATCAGAACATGCTGACACTTCTGGCTGATTATCACACAGGGATTTCATAGTTCATGGGGGACGTTTAGTGTTGCCTTATTGCTCTTTTATTTTCTTCTAACCCACAACTACATGCAGCAGATCCATACTCCTTCTGTTCTTTCCCTCCCACTCCCTCATTTCTTCAGACTTTTCCTCAGTGACATTCACTCCTTTCCCTCCCCCCCTCCTATCATCCCTTCATCTCTCTCTATCTCTTCTCCATCTGTCTGCCCTATTAGTTTGCTGAGCTAGTATGCCACTGCTTGTGTTGTGCTTATGTGTGGGTACTGAGTGCCTGTGTGTAGATATATTTTGGCACCATTGTAATTTTTGGTTCTACACATATTTTTGAGATGGATTAAAGCAGTACTCTACTGTACTACATAGGAGACACCACTATTTAAGTACAGAGTATATGTGAGACATCAGTGCATCTAGACATCATTTCTCTAAACATTCACACACACACATTTCTGTGCTGATGGATTAGGCAGGACAATGCATCTGTAATCATAACTACTCTGCAAAGAGCCCAGTGGTAATAGCTCGGTGTGTTACTGCCTAAGCCCTCCCCCACATGCTAAATTTGCTGTGTGCCACATGCTAATCCTTCCCTCCAGCTCTCATAATGTCTATTGTAATTAACAACAGCCCAGCTCCACTGAATCACACAGAGATGCTGAGGAGATGGGGGAAGGAAAGAGGTGGAAAGATGGATGAGAGACAAGTTTGTTAAGGCTGGAGGAAGTAGGACTGAAGGGATGGTAGAGGGACGTGTGGGTGTTTAATAGTGATGTGAAGACCAGCAACAAAGACAACTCAGTTTTGTTGTTTGTTGGGGTTTTTTTTTGTTAGAGAAAGACGGTCAAGCGCCAAGTGCTGGGAATACAACAGTGTTTACTTTAACCATGTCAACAAAATGCTGCACCGGTCTGTTGTGTGACTATATTTGAATATAGTGCACTGAGTTACAAATACTGTGTGTACTAGAATCTTGGTCTGTAATCATTTAGGCATTATGATACTTTAGTGTTCTAGTCTTATGGACATACTTTCAGGTGCACAAAATAGTGCAGCAATGCAACTTTTCAATTTAAAACCATATTTATCAACACTGATTATATAAATGAGCACAGCTGCAGCAGTGCTAATTTGAATACATGGCTGGTTGTAAGGACCTGGTGCCTGTATTGCACACATGATGACCAAGAACATAGATAATTGTAGGTTTACTGCGACTTCAATATGGTTAAACAAATCAACAAACATATTTCGGACCTGCAGCCACATAGTCTTCTACCAGTCAAATCAGATTTTATTTTGTTGGGTAATTGAAGCATGGTTTGACCTGAAAGCCTGTAAAAGTCCCTCACATTCTTTTCTGGCGAGCGTTGTAATTTACAAACATCCTCTCCCTCCTCCAGTGAGGTCTCAAATGAAAAACAGCTGCCACACTGACAATAAATTTTACACCTGCTTTCTCCTATCGTAAAATTTCACCCACAGTTCCCTCTGCCGCAGTGGTGTTAAATCAGGTGCTGAGGGTATTTTTATGTTCCCATTCTCTCTGCCCTTATTTTTCTTGCCCCTGAGTGGGAATGCCTTAAATTATATATTGCATGAGACTAGTTGCCCTCTTTAAATGTAATAAGTAATGTAACTGTTTTAATTACTTCATTAAAGTTGCTATGTAACTTACTACATTTCAAATCAAATCAAATGTATTTATATAGCATGTTAAAACAACACCATGTTGACCAAAGGGCTTTACAAAGTATTTGATTACTTTTGGATTACTCTTGTAACAAACATTTTAAACTGGGCAATAAAGCTGAAAAGTCATAAAAAATATGTAGCCTGGTGGATTGGCACCAAGCAAAATATAGAGCTAAATTACATCTTGGTGGAAGGTACTTTATTTTATGTGAGTGATAGCTGGTACATTAACTTACTTGAAGATGTTTCCTCTGGCAGGTTTACTACTGGTAAACAAACTTTACATGTTAGAGCCCTTTTCTGATTTCAGAAGGAAAATAATGACTTTCCAACATGATAAGGTGTTCTTGTTCAACGACATGGCCACCGGCCTTGGGGTTGTTGGCTGTGCAGTCAGACATTTGTCCCAGCGGCTTTGCTGGTAAAGGCTGAAAACCATTATAAAGCCTCATCCGGTTCTTTCAAACCAGGAACTCAGAGGGACGACTCAGACCACTTGAGTATATAAAAAATATATCCGTGCTGGTTTATTCAAAAAGTCACAGGCAAGAATTCACACTTCCAGTCCAGAGATCTTCCACCCCCCAGCCTGCCAAAAGCAGCCCGGAAACAGGAAGACCCCGAACCA